CCACCACTCCCTAAGAGCATATGGGAGCCAATTACATTCCCTACCACAATCACTAAACTCAAGTCACCCAAATTTTCTCCTATACTTCATCTTAAATGGCTTATAATTAGATAGTAACATTTAGGTCTATGACGCTTTTCCAGGTAACTTCTATAAAAGATGCGGGACATATGACTGTATTCATTTTTGTTGTTTTTCATTAGTTTTTTTTAGAATTTGGTACAATGTATTTTAATTATATTAATCTCTTCCATGAACTCTTCCCTGATTTGTGGGTATGGAAGACTAGTCATTCAGACATGGTATACTGAAGACAACTGCCTTTCTTCATTGAATTATGTGTGTCCTCATATCAAAAAGCAGCTGGTTACATCTGTATGTATGCTTTGCTTGAAACCTCAGCATCTAACGTCTCATTACCATTCTTTTTACCTATTCTACCTGTGGTGGGTAGCCATTCCAGCTTTGACCTGGAAGTTCCAACCCCCAATGAGGCTTGTAATGGTCACACCTACAAGGCCGGGCTGAGAGAGGACCCTGAAGACCCAAGTTCTGGATGCGGGGGCTCTCTTGGTTTCTGGACCCTGGAAGCAGGAGGTAGACCAAGCAGAGTTCTCCAGAGAACACCACTGGACTGTGCTACACCTTTCCCAGACCCTGTAAACTATCCCTTCACTTGTGAGTTACCCCACAAAATAAACCTCCCTTTTAACTATGTGGAGTGGCCTTAATAATTTCACCAATATCTATCTGCATGGTCTTGAGATCAGGTGACCCATGTCTTTGTCCTTGTTCTTTTCTTTTTCAGGATTATTTAATTACTCTAAAAATACAATCACTTTTATGTTTTTTATTTCCCAGAAGGAAACATATATGCATAATTATAAGGCTTTAATAAGAAAACACATTTATTTTTCAAAGATTTCCTAGGTCTTTTCTAAGTCATATTTAGTACTTTTTTGGCTGCAAAGAAAGTAGTAATAGAGAATCTATATTAATTTCAGATAAAGCAGACTTCTATGTAAGGAAAAAGACCAGAAAAGAAGAGGAAATATGTGGGAGAAATGATAAGAGACAAATTCCCCAGTAAAACATCATGATCCTTCATACATGTGTACCTAACAATCAGATGTCAGGGCATGAAGCAAAAATCTGGCTTAACTATAAGAAGGATGAGAGAACCCCACTAGGATCATCAGAGATTCGATCACCCCTTTCAGCAGCTGATAGATCAAGAAGGCAGAAAGTCAGTGACTATGCAGTTGACATAGCATGGCTATCAATCATTTTGGTTTAATTGACATTTATAACACACTACATCCCCAAACTGCAAAATATACATTCTCATGACAGGCATTTGGAACATTCTCTCAGATCCTAGGCTGTAAAGACCACTATAAACCCTTAAAATAATCAGAAACCCTACACAGTATGTTCTATGATATGATGGGATTAAACTACAAAAATAAATCCCAAAAAGATAACTGGAAAAATCCCACATATTTGAAGATAAGATAACATACTTCTACAACATAACCCATGAGTCAGATAAATCTCCAGTGACAGTAAAATTATTTTGAATGCATAGTGACAATGAAATTAAACATGGCAGTTGGTGAGACACAAAAATGCAGCACTTAAAGGTAAATCTCTAGCATTAAATATGTGTACCAGAAAAAGAAAGGGTTGAAATTAACTCATCAGCCACTTCTGTCCTTGGAACACCAAAGACAGAAGAGCAATGTAAGTCAAAACTAAGGAGAAGAAAATACATGGGGAAAAAAAAGACAGAAACCAATGAAGTGAAGGCAAACACAGAGAGAACCAACAAAAGTAAGAGCTAGGCTTTGAAAATAGCGCTTTAAATAGAGAAAAAACACTAGGCAGGTGTTCTGGTTTGGTGTCCAAATGGCCATCCAAAGCCCTGGCCCCCTGCCGTGATCTTCATGGTAGGAAGCAGACTTTTTAAGAGGTGGGTAGAGTCTAGTTTAAGGAAATTAGTTCAGGAAGGTGTGCCCTTGAAGCAGGTATTTGTACTTTATCCCTCTATTTTTCTCCTTTCCTAGGCTACCTTGAGGCAAACAGACATCTTGCTAAGTGATTTCCTCATGGCACACTGTGTGGCCACAGTTCCACAGCAATAGGCCAGCTAATCATAGGCTAGAACCTGGAAACTCTGAGCAGCGATGCACTTGTCCTATTTTTAAGATGATTAATTTGTATTTGGCGGCAGCAACAGAAAGGTGACTGAGATTATAGGCTAATCAGAGAGGAGCGTGGAAAGAAACAAAGAGAAAGATGGAAGGGAGAAAAGAAGGGGAGGGGAGTGGAGGGAAGAGGACAGACATGATCAACATTACAAGTTAAAGGTCTCATCATTATTGATTTTGTGGATATTACCAGTACAAAAGAAGACAATTATGGACAATTCTATATCTCAAATTCCATAAATTAGATGAAATGAGCCAATTCCTGCAAAACAACAAACTATTGAACTTTGTCAGATAAGAAAGAGATAATCTGAAGAGGCTTGCATCTATTAAAGAGATTGAATCAATAATTAATTACTCTGAAAAAGAAAGCACTGGGTCCAGATGTTTCCCTGAGAACTTTCCAAACATTTAAGGAAGAAATTAGGCCAATTCTTCATGATAGAAATGGAAGCAGAGACATCACTGTGTAATTGATTCTATGAGGGTAACATTACCTCACTAACAAAACCAAGTAAAGTATTACAAGAAAGGAAAACTACCGATCAATTTGCTTCATGAATATAGATATGAAAGAGCTCTGTACCACATTAGCCACAGTAACATAAAAATAGATAGGAAGATTATATCAAGCAGAAGAGATGGTTCAGCTGTTAAAAGTAATGTCTGCTCTTCTCAATGACTTGGGTTCAATTCCCTGCCCCTATATGGTGGCTCACAGCCATCTGTAACTCCAGTTCCAGGGCATTTAACACCTTCTTCTGCACTCCATGAGTACCAGGCACATACTCGGTGTATATGCAGACAAACACTCACACATATAAAACAAAAATAATTCTTAAAAAAATATTATAAAGGATTATACCACAAGTCAGTGAGATTTTATCCCAGGAAGACAAGATTTTGAACACTCAAAAATCAACATTAGGGCTGGTGAGATGACTCTTCAACTAAGAGTGCCCACTGCCCTTCTAGTTTGGTTCCCAGCATCTATACTGGACAGCTCACAACCACTTATAACCCCAATTCTAGGAGACCAGATGCTCTTTTCTATCCCCTGCTGGCACCTGCACTCACATGCACATACCCCCAGTACAAACACACATAATATAACGTAAAAGACAAAATAAATATCCAGCAAAATTCATATCCTTGACCACATCCAAAGACTAAAAAAACTCATGTGATGGTGTCAACTGATGCTAAAATGACACAAAATAAAACTCTTCTCCTTTGGTAGAATCTGCAATTCCCAGTTAAAAGTCTCAACTAATTTTGGCTAGAGAACTCATTATGATAGATACCAAATGAGAACAAGACTTACTACTTCCATGCAGGAAAGCTAGGTAAAGCCCCACATTCTGAAGAGGCAGGACTGCACTGAGGCTGTCATGACTTGCTGCTCTGAAAAATGTAAGACACAGTGTCTTGCAGAGGGTTTCAACTGTCCAGATAAACAGCTTGCTCTTGTCCATTTTGTCGTAGTGGGTAGAATGCATGGATGCTCAGAACCATTACTGATTCCCATTCCCAGGCTTCTCTAGGTATTTGATGTTGCCTCTCATCTGTAGGGTCTGACTGTCCAGAGGTCTCACTTATCTGCCTCAAGTGGTTTCCTTCATATCTGGAGTAGTATAGGGACGGGTGAGCTGACAGGCTGGGGAAGGTGTTAGCTTAGCTTGGTGGGTGACATCTGGGTGAAAGTAGAAACCTTCGTTGTGATCATAGCTCTGCAAAGCTATGAGATTTAAAGATTGGCTCACCAGGTTTGGTGGTCATTTTTTAATTCACTTTTTTCTGCCTTGATTCCTCTCCAGATTGTCTCTCTAACTCCCAAGTGGCTTCAGCTGCCTCTGTGTGGTCTCCCTGATTTTAGCCTAGAATCTTCCTCAGTGGACCCCCATTGAGGCCCTGCACACCCCTAAACCTGTTCAGCAGACCTCTTATCCTCCTCTTCCCTGTCCTTTCAATAGCTGTAGTTACAATATGTTCTCCTGAATCTTCTCTGCTCTAGTCTCAGTGCCTTCATGCATGCTTAATTTCAGTTGTCAACTTGACTGTTTTAAGAAATGCCTAGGGCATTAGTGAGGCACATCTTTGGGTGTGTTTGTGTGACTATTTATAGACAGAATTCAATGAAGTGGGTAAGACTTACCCAGAATATAGATGGCTCTATACCTTGAACTAGGATCATGAGCTGAAAATAAAAGGCACAGGGGAAAGAAAGCCAGATGGGTAACAGCATTCTGCTTTCTCTGCTTCCTGATCTGCTCGGATGTAAGCAAGCTGCCTCCTGATGCTATAGACAGGGGGTGGTTGCACCATGTCTTTCCTGCCATTACAGATTATCCCCTGATGCATGAGCCAAAGTAAATCTCTCCACCCTTAGTTGTTTATATCAGGCACTTTGTCAGGGTGACAAAAAAGCAAGTGGTAGACCTCCACTGTTTCTTCTCTGTTGGTATAGATGACCGTGCCTAACAAAGGACCTCAAATGTAGTACTCTCCAGTGTTGTTGGAGGGAAATACAAGATTTTTTGTCCACGATGGAGGCTCCAGTGAAGAGGATGGGACAGCATAGGAAAACTCACCTTTCCCCTCTGTACTATTCCTCAGTATTCATTAATGCCATTCAAGCTAAAAGCACCTCTGGGTTGAGCTCTAGGATAGGGTGATGCTTAAATTTACTGATGATGCCAATTATTTGGACCAAAAGACAAAGCATGCTTTCAATGTCATGAGCAGAACAGAATATTATATAACTGATTCATCTTAGTGTGATTATTTCAGAAGAACACAATCCCAGGAGGAAGAGGAATTACCTGAGGCTTCATCAGTGCACAGGTCATGGAGCTGCCTAGAATAATCTATTCCTGCTTAGTTGCCTCTTCCTATCAAAGGTAAGTTGTAGCAGGAATCTTAAAAGTTCTTATTAGTAAAATCAAACCTGAGCCAGGTATTGGGGTGAACTGGATGATCAGAGAACCAGAACAAGCCACAGCTAACCTCACCTGGCCAACTTCTCAGCTGGTCTTGTTTCCTCAGACTGGAACACTTTGTGTCCTCATATCTGAATGGCTCTCAGCTGAACTATTGCTCGAAAGCCTGAAGCTTAACCAGCTAAAAGCTTAACCAGCCAAATGCTTCTAGTTTCTGGTCCTCACGCCTTATATACCTTTCTGCTTTCTACCACTACTCCCTGGGATTAAAGGCTCACTTTCTGGGATTAAAGGCGTGTATCACCATGCCTGGCTATTTCCAATGTGGCCTTGAACTCACAGAGATCCAGAGGGATTTCTACCTCTGGAGTGCTAGGATTAAAGGTGTGAGTGCCAACATTTTTGTATCTAGTGGCTGTTCTGTCTCTGACCCAGATAAATTTATTAGGGTGTACAATATTTTGGGGAACACAATACCACCACATTTCCCCTTTTTTGTCTAAAATTTAAAAAAGCTTATAACTAATACAAGAAAAATTATATCTAATAAGTATATACAATATACACAGTCAAGATTATATTAATGATGTCTAGTCCGTTAACATTTGACAGATTCAGACAAAAAACTCCATTAATATATTAACAATGTCCAGTCCAGTAACAGTAAGTAGAGGAACATTCCTTATTTTCTGAAGAGAGATGGGGAGAGAAAGAATGCTAAACATGGGTTGATCTGGTATAAAGAATGGATGTTCTTATGAAGGGTGTTAGACAAAAAAGATTTTGTTGTATGTTAAAATAAGGATTTTTTTTTGTTTGTTTTTCAAGACAGGATTTTGCTGTGTAGCCCTCGCTGTCCTGGATCTCACTCTTTTGATCAGGCTGATCTCAAACTCACAGAGATCCATCTGCCCCTGCCTCCCGAGTGCTGGGATTAAAGGTATGCGCCACCACTGCCTGGCAATAAGGATGATTTTTATCCGAATCTAATTCAATAGGGGATCCTAGTAGGGTAGGACAGTTAGACTCAACTTGCAATACAAAAAGAATAAGTGGAGATTGACAACTAAGCAACAGAGAGGGGCATTCTGCAGATGGAAAACTACTACAAACAAGCAGTAAGAGTAGGCAGATCTTACCAAATAAACATGGTGGTGATCTTCATTGTCAACTTGACTTGGTTTAGAAATGCTGACAGGGTTAGTATAACTCACTTCTGGGTGTCTGCAATGGTGTTTCCAAAGATAAATAATAAGAACTTTGATTTATTGAATGAATTAATTTATTGATGGGTATTAATATGACATTATTATTGAGAAGTAGTGAAAAGTCAGAGGTGGGGACTAATTGGAGGAAGTGGTTCACTATGGGTATTTCCTTGTGTTGTATGTAGGTTTGACTTCTTCCTGTACTTCTCTTTCTGTTTCCAGTATACCATGATGTAGGAAAACCTTCCACCATGTGATTTTTGCCACTATGATGTTCTGTCAAAAGTCACAGAGTGAAGCAAACATTTACTAAACACTTTGAAACCATGAACCAAAATATATCTTTTCCCCTTAAGTTGTTTATATCAGATATTTTGACTACAGCAATACAAAAATAACTAACACATAACTTACTAAGATATACTTACACCTTAAAGACAGGGATGAATAACTTCATCATAGATGAAGAGTAATCAGATATCAAAGATGGGAAAATTCTCACTACATGCTCTTAGTGAATGAGTAGTGCAGGTTACACAAGAATGAAACAGCAGGGAAGGCTGAGATCAAGTCCAACCAAGAAGAAGACTCAAAAAATCTAAACGAAGTTCTGTCAAATAGAGTGTCTTTGTCAAGAGTTAAGGTTGACTTTGTCCTTGGCCTTGACATTAGACCCATAGCCCATTTTAAAGCCCATGGTCCTTCCTAGGACAAGGGGCTGGAACTGGAGCAGATCATGAGGTTATTAAGTATGAATAGAGGAAAGGGATGGCTTGCAAATAACTGTGAATGACAAGGAGATGATGAAGTTAGTGGCCATGTTCACAGCTCACTAAGCATTAGCCTTTCCCCTTTGACATCCTCTTCCTCTGTACAGCCTCTAGACTTCTGCCTCCCTTCCACAGCCACCTCTGGCCAACTTACCAGTGTCTTGGCTATTAGGTGATAGAGTCCCATGCTGCTCTTTAGCTGCTGCTCCCACAGCCTTGGCTTCTAGTCAACTCCCTTCTGTTCTGTAATCCATGATGCCAGGAAACACAGACAGTCTCATTTTAATTTTGACGGCCCTATTTTATCATATAAATGATTCTTCTGTTAACCACTTCCTCTAGACCCTAAATGCCAACTGATGATTTCCTGCCAGAAAAGCTGGTTTGCAACCCAAAACCCCATCATTTTTTGCAAGTTCAATATACTTTCCCAAATCTGTTACTTCCTGAGTAGCAATGATAGTCATGGTCAATTCTGCCTCATCAGTCGCATTATATGTGTTTCTGTCATCTCATTCACTGTTTGGTTATTCTACTGTGGGTGCTTTACAGTATAAACTCAGAAATATTTCTCATGAACAGAGTAATGAAAACACAATCAAACCTTGTGTTCTAGCTTATCTCGCATTGCTGTAATAACCTGTGACCAAAAGCAACTTGGTGTTTGTGTGGCAGTTAGGGTGGGGGATGATATTTGACTTACAAGTCCTGATCATAGTCCATCACTAAAGGAAGTCCTGGCAGGAACTCAAGCAGGAACTGCTTATTAACTTGCATCATCTGGCTTGTTTAGCTACCTTCCTTATACAACTGATAGCCATCTGCCTAGGGATGGCATTGCCCACAGTGGGCTGGGCCCCCCCACATCAATTAGTGATGAATAAAATGCTCCACAGACCAATCCAATGAAGGCAATTCCCCAACTGAGATTCATTTTCCCTGAGTATGTTTAGGTTTGAATCAATGCTACAAATCCTAACCAGAATATACTGTTCATAGCAACTGTGTGTTTGGTAGATTCAGTCAAGCCCTTAGGATTTGGGCAAGGACAATAATGATGCACATACGGGAAGAACAAATACCACATTAAATACAACAGCTGACATCCACGTTCTTAAAATATTCTTCAATGAGAAGCCAGAGATATTCCCTGTCTGTTCACTCTCCTGTCATCCTCAGCCTCTAGCCATCTGGGGGGCCTCTCACACTTCATTTATCTTCCTTGACTTCCCTTCAGCTCTTCTTTGCTCCTCATAACTTTAAATTATTTGTTGTGGCTTAAGGGCTGGCATTTTGCCATAACCTTGTTTGCTGTGGCCAAAAGGTGCTATAAACTGGTGAACAAATGCTTGGAATTTCACAGAAACAGGATCTCTGGCATTGTAAAGAATGTTCACTGTAAATACTCCTTCCCTCTATTTGTCATGCTTTCAAACAGGGCAGGAAGGAAACACACTTCCAAAGGATGAAGTCAGGATACATCTGAAAGCTTTGCAGACAATAGTCACCTACCACTGCAGGATCAGACAGCGGGGTGACTCTGATGTCATTTGGTTCCTTTTGGTAGTGCCACAAGCATTTATAGTTTTTGTAGACTCTCTAAAGTTCTTTTATGTCTAACTTCCTTTAAAATTGAAAAGTGCATACCTGTTGAAGATCTGTCACATAGATAAAGTAAAAAAAAAAATAATGTTTTATGCTGAGAGAAAACAGTGTGTGTTGCAGCTAGCTTCAACTGTCAAAATGGCACGGCCTAGAATCACCTGAGAAGGGAGGTCTCCACCCGAGAAGAGGGTCTCAGTTGAAGGATTGCCTAGATCAGATTGGCTGTGGGCATGTCTGTAGGGGTTGTTATGACTGAAAATTGGCATAAGAGAGCCCAGCCCACTGTGAGTGGCAATATTCTGTGAGCAGGCCTGGGCTATATTACAAAGATAGCTGAACATGAGTTGGAGGAACCATCAGACATAATTCTCCTGTCTCTGCCTCCCCAGCTCCAAGGTCACAAGCACACATTACCATACCAGAGCCTCAGGATTGTGCAGCAAGTATTTTAACAGCTGAGCCATCTCCCTAGTTCTTATATTTTCTCCTGTTCTGGAAGAATTTGGAAAAGAAAGATAGTTGAAAGCATAAGCACAGTGAATAAAGACGGAATCATAATTAGGTTTTAGAGCAAAATAAAAAAATCAAATAATTATTGTTTCAAAATTAAAATGCAAAAATATGAAAATTTGATCTCATTAAATCTACTATAATTTATTTATATATTATGATTTTAATGAAAATTAATAATAGACTATTTTAGCATCTTTTAATTAGCTTTATAATGAAAGAGCTCATATGCAAATAATAGAAGAAATTGACTATATATCAACTCAATGAAAAGAAACTACTAATTCATCATTTTCAAAATGTGTTTGTAGTTTCCCAACATAGAGACATAAATATCTGCTGAAATATGAGGCAACTGATTGGAGCTGTGTGATTTATTTTTACCTGATATTGCTGCTCTGTGTAAAGCATTTTAAACTCATGTTTCTCTCCAGATAACCAGAGTGCTGGCTCCTGATTTTTTTTCCTCTACTTTCTGTGATATACTTCTAGAATTGTGACATCAGTTACACATCACTGTTACAGACAAAATACACTGAAATGGCTGAAACTAAATGAATTTATTTTTGTGACACAAAATAGTGTTTGTGTTCCCTTTCCTAAACTTAGTTCCATTTTCATATTTTATGTAATAGACCTACAATGTTTATTGAAAGAGACACCTTCAGAAAAATGCCTAATGAAAAGCAGGTACCATGTAATTGATGCACAGAGGCAAGTGACCCAGAAGGGAAGTCACCACTGCCTAGAGAAATCCCGGTCTCTTTTATGACCATTACTTTGGCATTTTTATTGTTATAAATGAATCCTTAGGTACTTCATCAGGCAATTTAAGGGCTGTTTTGAATAGATTTCCAAACCATTTTTCATTTTAATAAACAGATACCTATACTTTTATAGTTAATTTGCTTTTTCTAATTTTTAAGAAGAATCTGTTTTACTCTGTAGACAACTGGTATTGAACTCAAGATCCTCCTGCCCTAGCCTTCTGAATGGTGGGATAATGGGTATGTACCAGCACATGCAGTTTAAAAATCTCCCTTTAAACCAGTGGCAGTGGTGCAAGCCTTTAATCCCAGTGCTTGGAAGGCAGAGCCAGGCAGTTCTCTGTGAGTTTGAGACCAGCCTGGTCTACAGAGCGAGATTCAGGACAGGCACCAAAATTACACAGAGAAACCCTGTCTTGAAAAACAAACTAACAAAAGATCTCCTTTTTATTGTAGGCAGTGGCAGCACTCCCTCCCACAACTAACCAGGTCCAGAACCAGGGTTATGAGTTGGGCTACCTCAATATCCACCCCAACTGTGACCTGTTGGAGCATATGAAGGGACCAGTACTGCAGACGCAAAGCTACAGGATTTCTGCAACACAAGGCAACAGCAGGACATCCAAGAAGAGTCCCAGTGAGGGCCCAGCATCCATAGTTTAGCAGAAACCAGAGACCTCGAACCAGACCAACAAAACAACTTTTTGCAATGAGCACTTACAAGTAAAAATATATGGATAAAAGGGTTTACTGTGTTACTCACTGTGTCCATGTTACACTACAGCTTCCATGACAAGACTGATTTTTCCTTCTCTCTCTTTTTCTTTTCTTTCTCATAAATTTTATTTTATTATATTTTGTGAGGGGTGAGGTTGCAAGGGTAGTGATGGATATGAATGGATGGGGAAATGAATGGGATGGAGATGCATAACGTGAAAGACACCAAGAAATAAAATGCTTAAAATTTTTTTTTTACATTTTTCTCATAACTTAATTTTCTATTCCGACAAATTTAAGATCAAGTTTTAAATGCACTTGACAATCAAGCCTTTGTTTTGAATATATTCATATGAATAGCAAGATCAGTAGATAAATGTTATTTTTAAATATATAATAAAGAGCACTGCTCACTTTAATCCTTATACATAAAAATATGTGATCCATGTAGTAGCTACCAAGTGAGAACCTTGAAAAGCAGGTGGAGAAGCTAAGAGTAGAACAGGTGATAAATTACTTGGTTTATCACACAATGTCAGTTACAAGGAGGAACAGAGCTAAATATTCACACTTGGCATTCAAAGTTCAGAGTGTGTTCCCTGGCATGCCTGCCTCCAACAAGACTTCTAAGTAGTTAAGTGTTTAATGAATGAATGAAATAACTTCATGACAACATTTTATTTTTACTTCTTTGGCAATGGTTTGACTATTGGCTTTTTTATGCCTTCCTTGCCAACTTCATGGCCTTAAATAAAACAACAGTGGTCCAACTGACAGGAAATGGAAAATGAAAGGCAGGGCAGTGTCTCCAAGCTAATTCACAGAGTTCAGGATTAATCAAAATATTCCTTTATGTAGCTGGTAACAAACGTAACAAATAAGCTGGCAGTCGGAGTATGAAATGAGCCAAGTATAAAACCATTACTGAAAGGCATGCAGTTCTAATACAGCAGATTGTATACTAACAATTAAGATGTGAGAATGTGCATAACACAGCTTTCTGCATAATCCTAATGATGATTGTTAGGGATTGAGCTCCACCCTTAGGTGCAAAGGGTGACAGATGACTGTATTAGTCTGCTTGGATGAAATCTCTCTTTACCTGACCTATGACCCTGGGATGACTCAATGCAGCCATTCCCATTGTAGTCCTGGGGGATACATGAGGTGTGTACGCATTGAGCACACTTTGTGTATCCAGACTTGAGAGATTCGAGATTCTGTTTTTCTTTTTAGTGTGGAAATCTTTAGACTTTCTGAGAACCTCCTTGCTTAAAGTCAGTAGTATCTAGTATCTTAGATCTTAAAGTGCCCATATGAATTGACTCTTGTACAATGGCTAGATATGGGATTAAAAAGCAATAGAGAAGAGAGAAACAGTCTATGTGAAGGAAATAGCCTGTGATGAAGCTGTGGGCTGTGGGAGAACTTGGTGTGTTCAAAGAACAGAACAGCAAGCAGTCTAGACAGAGGGTGGTCTTGGATGGAAGAGGGATGATTTGTGTTGGGCAGGTGATCATGCTTCCAGATACACAGACCATGAACTTGACAATTTATAACCAAGATTAAAAAAAAATCAATGTCTCATCTGTGTTCTTGAAAGAAAATCAATTTCAAAATTAGAATTAAAAGGAAAAATATGCACATAAAGAAAGGGAGGCAACTCTAACAAAAGTTATGAAGCCTGGAGTGCACTGAACTGAGTGACCAGTTCTAGGCAGCCTTCAGTGAAGCCCTCAGGCTGTCTGTGATATACATTTCTAGTTTGAGTTCCTGATGCTAGATGTGATTAAGAAATGGGCATTTTCTCTATGCTAACTGTTCCCAATATGTGTTCCTATAGAACGCTGTCTTCAGATATTATGGATTGCAGATTTGGGAGGCAGTTTCCAGGCCAGATTTTCTCAGCATATTGCAAATATCAGTGGTAAAATCCTCAGGTATTTAACATGGAAACATGGCATTGCCCTTGGGTGGTTCTGTATTTTCTAATACTACTACCCCCAAAAGTTATAAAGAATAATTAGTGTTTCCAATTACCCATCATCCATTTCCCCATGACATTATAGAACCACAATATAGAGTCAGTCAAATCCATACACCACAGCACTATTTTCTCAAGTACAGACCTAAGAGAAGGCCTCCTTTAGTTGTGATTTCTATTTCCATGTCTTCCATTAAAATATTTTCAATCTCAAGCATTAAATGGAAAATTTCAGAATAAGTAAGTCTTGGGCTTAAATTACATATCATCTTCTAAGTATCATGATGAAGCATCCTGCCATCTTGTCCCATACTATCTGGGATGAGAATTTTCCCTTAGCCCAGCATGTACACATCTATTACTTACTGATTTTATACTCTGTCAACCTGTTTTACTTAGCAACTACTCTCAGTTATCAGATCAGCTGTTACCAGTGCTGTGATCAGTGACGTAAACTGAAGAATTCCCCACAGGAGGATTCTGTTTTGAACGTTTATTTCTAGCTGTGCTATTGTGGGAGGCCATGGAAGCATTACAAGTGGAGATATATCTGGAAGAAGTAGACCATGAGGTACATAACTTTGAGCTTATACCTGAACCCTGGGTCCTGACCCTCTTTCTGCTTCCTGATCCACTGTGATGTGAATGGCCTATGTCACATGCCCCTGGTGCTGTGGTAGGAACCTCTCTGCTGCACTTCCCCCATCATGATGGACTTAAACACTCTGAAAACTTGATCCCAAATAGATATTTTCTTGTTTGTTTCTGTCAAGAGTTATCATCATAGCAATGCAAAACTAAGCCGTACATTGGGTACCACTCATCCTACTTCATGATGGCCCTACTGCCCAGGACAGCATTAAGATCCATCACGCCAGCAATTCAGAGGTGCCAAAGGAAAGTGGGAGCATGTTTCCTTAAGGTGAAAAGCCTCAAAACAAATAAAAAGGTTTACTTGTCTGGATGCTTCCAGCGGTTTTGGAATGTCTCCTTCCATAACTCAGCGCGATGCCTGCATTTGGACTTCAATGTTTTCAGTCCTTCAACAAGTATATGGTAGAGGAAGAATTCCGCTGAGGGAGGTTTCAAAGAAGATAGCTGCTGTAAGCAAGCTAATTAGACATTCACTGCTAACAATCTTGACCTCAATTAGGTGAAGGATTCCTAATTAAATCCTTACAGGCTTTTGTGTTAAATGGTAATTGAATGCCTAAAAGTTCCTCACAATTATATCATATTAACAAGAATGTATTTGCATTTTTAATGCTTTATTGATTTCCAATTCATTATAGAGCTGTTTGTGTTATTTCATGGTGTCTTCGAGACCTTTACAAACTGTTCATTGGGGTCCAGACACTCAGGAACAGGTTAGAAAAGTAGCAAAGTTTGTGACTCATTCCAGGGTTTTAGACTGTTGTAGCTTAGCTGCTTCTGCCCAAAGCTGTCACCACGCCTTTAAATATGCATGAGCATGCAAGTAGGAAGATGACTTGGTGAAGCTGGAGACACACAGTCTAGACCACTCTCCTTTGCTGATGGTGAAACTCATAGTATCATGGAGTGCGGTCTCTTTTGATTTAGGCCCTCTTTTCAGGTTTATTTACTCTATTAAATGTATGAGTGTTTTGTCTGCATTTATGCATGTGTACCATGTACACGCTTGGTGCTTGCAGAGGCTAGAAGAGGACCTTAGATACCCTGGGACTGGAGTTATAGCTGGTGATGAGCCACCATGTGGGTTCTGGAAATTAAACCCAGGTCCTCTGCAAGAGCAACAAGTGCTCTAAGCCACTGAGCCATCTCTCCGGCCTGGATTCAAGAAGCCTACTTTTCTGGGTTTGCATACAATTAGTTAACTGCATGATTTGTTTGTACACTCAAAAACCTGTAAGTTTCAATGTGTTATTTATTCACTTTCTTGACACAAATTTATGGTCAATAATTGGTGTCTGTGTTCATTAGAGATACATGGGTGTGGCCTCACATATCATTTGGTTAATTTGTTTAAAATTTTAATCCCATCTGTTAACAAAATTTATTTTAATTTAATGATTCACTTATCCTACTGATCGTTCCCAGCCCACCTCTCAAATAAACTGTTACAAATGTGAAACTTAGATATTTTACCCATGTGCATTTACTTGCAAATCAATCTTGAGCCTGAATTAATCTCTGGTGCTGAAGGTTAAACTGGAAGTTTGAAATGATAGAATTAATTTCAAATTGTAGATAGATTTCAATAAATTGGAAAGAAAATGTTTGTTACTTTCCAAAATTCAGACTAGCTCCTCTAGTTGGAAAAAGTAGTATGTTTTTATTTATTTTTTAATAAAAGGGAATCTTAGAAGGAAATTACTTTTCTATAAATGTCTCCTAAAAAAAAACACAACCCACTGTTTCTCCTGGCCTAACATCTTCCTTCAAACTGTGTCTTTACAACTTCAGGAAGAGTGTTCTAGGATGTTCATTTGCAGTTATTCTTCTCGTTATTTGTTGTGCATCACTTATAAATGCATTAGATTTGTAATCTATTGTGTGTATAAATCAAGGTTATAAAAATCAGACACCTCAGCTAGAGAGATAGAAAAACTGGCAAAGTGCCTGCCGTGCAAGCCTGACAAACTGAATTCAGATCCCTAGCACCCATGTGAAAAGCCAGGCATGTCATATACATCAATAACCCCAGTGTGGTAAAATGCTGGGGCCAGAGGTAGGCAGAGCCTTGGACTTCATTGGCCAATTACTCTAGCATAATTGATAAGTTCCAGCTTCAAGGAAAGACCCTGTCAAAAACTAAGGTTGACAGCAATTGAAGAATGTGCTTGTGTTGACCCCTGTCCATAGCCGCCCAAACACATAAAAGCATTACACACACACACACACACACATGCACACGCACACGCACACGTGCACACACACACTCACACACACACACTCACACACACACACACGCATATGCACATGCAAAAGCACACACAGAGAGACAGAGATAGAGACACAGAGAGAGACAGAAGACAGGGAGACAGACAGACAGTGACAGATATGCACACATAAAAACACACATACACAGACCTATACATCAAAATCCATTAACAAATACAAATACATCAGTTTTCTTCCTTTTTCTTCATTAATGTCTGTTATTTTTTTTCTCTTACTCTTTGGCTTTCTGATC